TGACCTGCGGGGGAATCGGGCCCCCAGGTTCAACCTGAACATTGGTGAGCATTCGAAAGCACAAAACCCGCCGTTTACTGAATTGTCTGATGATGAGGAACAGTGCCTGTCACCTAAGTCAGTTCAGTTCTCATCGACCACTCGTACTCATACGCGGCTTCCTCACTCAGGTTTCCCTAAATTTGATGGCGAGAACCCGAAATGGTGGAAGAAATAGTGTGAGAAATATTTTCGCATGTATACAATGCAGCCAGCCTTGTGGGTCGATTTTGCGACTATGCATTTCTAGGGGAATGCAGCCTTATGGTTACAAACATATGAAGCTATGCATACGGTTGACAACTGGCCAGCCCTGTGTGTTGCAGTATTTGCTAAGTTTAACAAGAACAAGTATTCCAGGACAATTGATTTGTTCTTTGCATTGCGTCAGGAAGGAACAGTGGAGGAGTATGGTCATGTCTTTGAGGAGCTCATGCATAAAATCCTGGTCTATAATCCTTTGTACGATGAGATATTTTTTGTCAATCGGTTCATTGAAGGACTGAAATCTGCTATTCGAGCTCCAGTGAAACTGCAGCATCCAGGAACTGTTGATTCTGCTTTTCAATTAGCACGGATTCAGGAAGCACTGCTAGCAGAAGACAGTCTCAAGTGGCACAAGGGGTATAAATTCAAACCGTATGTGCATCAGGGGATACTTGGTGCCACTCCGGATAAGCAGCCTATCGATAAACTTCCGTTTACTGCCAGGGTTGACAACTTAAGAGCTCAACGCAGATCAAGGGGGGAGTGTTTCAAATGCGGTGAGAAATTTGGGCCTAGCCATAAGTGTCCTACTTCGGTGCAGTTACATGTGATGGAAGAACTATCATCAGCATTGCAAATTCCAGATCAGAATGATATTGTATCAGTTATCGCAGAGTCTGAGCCTGATGCTGAACCCGATGAGGCTGTCATGGAATTATCCATCCATGCTGTTAGTGGCACATATTGCAAAGAAAGTGTTAAGTTGCAGGGTCTGATTGGAAAAACACATCTACTGATTCTAGTGGATTCTGGTAGTTCCAATAGCTTTGTCATTGAGAAATTGGTGCAATAACTCCAATGTTTCGTGGAAAACTTGCCTGCGGCTACTGTTAAAGTTGCTGGTGGTGGTACTCTCACTTGTACACAACAGGTTAAAGATTTGCAGTGGTGGTGCCAGGGCACCTGTTTCAGTACTTCTCTGAAAGTCCTACCCCTGGAGAGCTATGATATAATCCTGGGTATGAATTGGCTTGAAATTATGAGACCTATGTGGGTCGACTGGAAAAAGAAAATCATGAAGTTTGAGCACCAGGGCACTGAGATAACCTTGCAAGGCATATCTGACAGAATTCAGAGCTACACACCCTTGTCTGGTAAGCAGTTGCATGGACTCCTCCAATCTGAAGCTGTAGAGCATGTCATCCATCTGAATTATGTCACTACAGTACCTAGGCCACAGACAGAATGTCCCCTGTCTGTGCAGAAGCTCATTGAAGCTCATAAAACACTGTTCCAAGAAACTACAGGGGTACCACCACACAGGGCCTTTGATCACCAAATTCCTTTACTGCCAGGGGCCACCCCGGTTAATGTTAAACCTTACAGGTATAACCCTATGCAAAAAACTGAAATAGAACGACAGATCACAGATATGTTGCAGCAAGGACTTATTCAGTTAAGCACTAGTTCTTTTGCATCTCCGGTGTTGCTGGTCAAGAAAAAGGATGGTACTTGGCGCTTTTGTGTTGATTACAGGCATCTCAATGCTATCACACTTAAACACAAATACCCTATGCCAATTATGGAGGAACTGTTGGATGAATTAGCAGGAGCTAAGTGGTTTACCAAGTTGGACCTTAAATCTGGCTATCATCAAATCAGATTGGTGCCTGGTGAAGAGCACAAAACTGCTTTTAAAGCTCATCATGGATTGTATGAATTCAGAGTGATGCCATTTGGTCTGACTAATGCACCAGCTACTTTTCAAGCAGCTGTGAATGCACTCTTCGCTGTTTTGTTAAGGAAGTGTGTGTTAATTTTTGTTGATGATATTCTTGTCTACAGTGACACTCTAGAAGAGCATTTGGAACATTTGGCACAAGTGTTTGCCATTCTTAAGGAAAACAACCTTCATGTCAACTTCTCCAAGTGCACCTTTGCTCAGCAAGAGCTAGAATACCTGGGCCATATCATCAGTGCTGAAGGTGTGAGGACTGATCCTGCTAAGATTCAGGCTGTTTAGGATTGGCCAGTTCCCGTGAATGTAAAACAAGTTAGGGGATTTTTGGGACTCACTGGGTATTACAGAAAATTCATCCAGCATTACAGTCTCATTAGCAAAAGTCTCACAGAATTGCTCAAAAAGGATGCAATCTTTGCTTGGACTCCTATTGTGGATGATGCATTCAACCAATTAAAGCAGGCCTTGTTGCAGGCACCGGTCCTAGCCTTGCCAGACTTCTCTAAAGCTTTTACAATTGAAACGGATGCAAGCAATGTGGGCATAGGAGCAGTGCTCATGCAATTAGGGCACCCGGTTGCCTATCTCAGTAAAGCCTTGGGCCCACAGGCTCAGGCCTTGTCCACTTATGAAAAAGAGTGCATGGCTGTCATTTTGGCAGTGGATAAGTGGCAGTCTTATTTGCATCATGCTCCTTTCATTATCAGCACTGATCATAAGAGTTTGCTTCATTTAACAGAACGGAAAGTGAGCAATTCCATGCAGCAAAAGGCACTTCTCAAACTCATGGGATTTAACTACACTGTGGTGTACAAGAAGGGGAAAGAAAATACTGCAGCAGATTCCTTGTCCAGAGTGCCTGAACCGGCCACACTTCATTCGATGACTTCTGGCACCCCTCAATGGTTGGACACTGTAGCTGAAGGGTACTTGCAAGATCACCAGGCCAAGGACTTACTGTCGGAACTTAGCCTAACAGGATCTAATGACAAAGGATTTAAATTAGTGCATGGTATCATCAGGCATCATGATAGAGTGTGGTTGGGCAACAACAAGGAAGCCCAACAAGCTATCTTGCTCTCTTTACATGCCAGTGGAGTGGGTGGGCACTCAGGTTTCCAAGCTACTTACCACAGAATCAAGGCTCTGTTTTCATGGCCTGCAATGAAGCAATATATTCAGGAATATGTCAAAAGATGTACTGTGTGTCAGCAGGCCAAGTCAGAACACATTAAGAAACTTGGGCTTCTTAGTCCATTACCTATGCCCAAGGAAGCTTGGAATATGGTGAGCATGGATTTCATCTCTGGACTTCCCAAAAGCAAATCTTATGATACTATATTGGTGGTCATTGACAAGTTCAGTAAGTATGGTCATTTCATTCCTCTGGCTCATCCTTTCACTGCCCTGACAGTTGCTCATCTGTATCTGGACCATGTGTATAAACTCCATGGATTACCTCAGGTATTGATCACTGACCGAGACCCTCTTTTTACCAGCACAATGTGGCAAGAATTGTGTAGGTTGTCGGACACTAAAATGAACATGAGCACTGCCAACCATCCAGAGACTGACGGACAGAAAGAGAAACTCAATCAGTGTTTGGAAACATTTTTGCGGTGTATGGTTCAGTCTGCTCCCAGGAAGTGGGCGCAATGGCTACCTCAGGCGGAGTACTGGTATAACACCAATTACCATTCTGCATTGGGTGCTACTCCCTTTCAGGTACTGTACGGGTATCTTCCTTGCCACTTGGGTATTTCCAACTTGCAAAGTTCTGCTTCCAGTGATCTCTCGAGTTGGCTAGCGGAGCACAATGCCATGACAGCAATGATTCGGGAACATTTGTTGCGCGCTCAGTCCAGGATGAAGATGCAGGAGGATAAACATCGATCAGACAGAGTGTTTCAACCTGGTGATTGGGTATTTCTAAAACTTCAGCCTTATATGCAGCAATCGGTTTCTCGGCGCTCCAATCATAAGCTTGGTTTTAAGTTCTTTGGGCCCTATCAGGTGCTTGACAAGGTGGGTGAAGTGTCCTACCGCCTGGCACTGCCGCCATCCAGCAAGATTCACCCCGTTGTGCATGTGTCCTTGCTCAAACCAGCGGATCCACCAGTTGAGGGCACGGACAGTGGTGACAGTCTGCAATATGCTGTAGTGGCGACTCAAACATCCAGACCGGTGCAAGTGCTCCAGTCACGGCTCGTCAGATTTGGTGGGCGAACAAGGCGGCAGTACAAGATTGCCTGGAGTGGTCTTCCACTGTCCATGGCTACTTGGGAGTGGTCCAGTGCTCTTCGAGAGCTGGCATCAGCGTGAGGGCACGCTGTTTTCAAGAGGAGGGGCATGCTATGGTCCTTGTACGTGGGCTGTGTGTGAGTGGGCCAGTATGGGCCGGTGTGTGCGTGTGTACTGTGGGGTTGCACAGTTAAGTAGCTGCTAGGTAGCTGTGTGAGGCATTGTTGGTTGACTGAACAAACCTTATCTTCTCCTTCCTCTGAATCAAGTCTTCCTCCTCGGCTCTTTCTTCCTCTCCACGTCTCTGTGTTGTGAGTTCAACGATCCCATACCCCAGCCATGGCGAGGGAGTGCTACCAGTCGGTAGCACTTCTTCAGTTAGTTGCTCTCCTCTCTCTCTCTTTTTTGCAAAGACCTCGTTCACTATCCAGCAACACACGCAGAGTCGCAGGAAAAACTATCAGGCACAGGGAGTTAACTGATGGGCCGGCCCAGCACGCGAGCAGCAAGACGGCAGAAAAACCCGAGCGAGCGCTCGTCCTCTCTTGCTGCGAGGGAGAAATAGACGAGCCCGAGCCGTTCCTCTCCGCTCGTCTTCCCGACAGTCGGTCCCTGGCCGCGAAATCTCAAAACCCTAGCCACGACGCGCTCCCCTCCCGACGCCCCTCGCCGCTCCCAGGATCTGCGCGCAGCGTGACCCCCGGGCTCTGTTGGTACCACACGGGGTACCGGCAGAGGAGAGGGTTAGGGCGCCCTAGCTGAAGCGGCAGCCATGGCGTCGTCTGTGCTGGAGGCCACGCGGGCGGCGCACGAGGACCTCGAGCGGTTAGAGCGCCTGGCGGTGCGCGAGCTGCAGCGCGACCCCGCCAGCGCGCGCGACCGCCTCTTCCAGTCCCACCGCGTCCGCCACATGCTCGATCTCGTCGTCTCCACTTCCGACAAGCTGGTACGCCCCTCCCCATCTTGTCTCTCTAGGGTTTCGCGCCTGATTTAGTGGCTGTAGCTTTCGTGTAATGCTTGTTTGCCGTGGCCAGAGCTTGGCCGTGTCGCATCTCTGCTTTCGGTCGGTTAGGATTGGTTTTGTTCCATGTCATTTGCGATATCTTGAATTGAGATGCCTAGGGTTGCCTGTGTGTTAGCTCTACCTGTTATGGTTTGGCTTTGGTTGACCCGTGCTAATTCTGGGGAATTCCGAACTCGAGCTAGATTGATTTTTTGGCTTTATTTTTTACAAGATATATGCGCATAAAGTCATTGGATTATCTTAAGACTTTTATTTTCGTGCTGCTATTTCCCCGTTTTTGTTGTTTTGGGAATATGAATCGTCTGTTTTTCTTTCTAATGTGATTTTGCTAATATGTCTTTCTTAATTAGGTGGAAATCTATGAAGACAAGGACGGTGCTAGGAAGGATGAGATCTCCACCCATCTTACCGCGCCGGTGCAAAGTGACATCTTCCCCAAGTACTATGAAAGGCTGAAAGAGGTAAATAATCAACTGTAGCCCGTCTGACTCTGCCCAAGAATCACTTAAGCATGCCATGGAATCAGACAGTTAAAAGTGGCAAAATGCTAGCCAGGTGGTGGATGCTGCAGTTCATGCACTGACAAAAACATTCCATGCTATCGTTGTTTAGTTGTTACTCCCTCCGTTCCGTATAAGTGTCTCTAATTTAGTGCACGACATGACAACCCTCAGAAAGCCAAATAATAAGATTAGAACATGTTTTCTAGCAATCCTACTTGGAAATTACACTACATGCACACTGGTGAATTTTCCGGTTATGTTAACCTGCACTTCATCTCAACCATGACCCTCTGGTTGACACACGTGAGGCAGATCATAACTGAGTGTTATTGGAAAACTTGAACTTATACTATTTCTTCAGTGGTGATTATTCTTTCATTTTGCTTGCAGATTCGTGATTACCATAGACGGAATCACTCTGCCCGTTTCGTCAGTGAAACTGATGATTATGAGGAGCTACTAAAGGAGGAACCAGCTATTGAATTCACTGGCGAGGTACTGTCCAGTATAATTTTCACTTAGATAATCCTGCTTGCGATGATTTGTGCACTGTTTTATCCTAAGCCATGTTGTGGTTGATCTGATTTTCTTTACTTGATTATCCTAAGCCATGTTTCTTGATTTTCTTTACTTACCTATGTTTATATATTCCTTTTTTGAGAAGTGAAATGCATGGCAACCTCATCTGGACGCCTTTTTCTAAATTGTCTAGCACTGCTTCGTTCTGCCATACTTAGCTGATTATTAAGTGCCAAAGTTGGTGTAAATCATCCATAAAGTCCGTCTGCTAAGAACTACTTAGCTGATTATATTGAGTGCCAAAGTTGGGGTAAATCATCAATAATGTCTGCTAAGAACATTTTAGCGTCAAGTAGCAGCCTTGTTTTCCATTTTACTACAGCAGTCTTGAACTCTAGGGTATCTCTATTGTGATACGTGTATTTTAATTTCTGCAGGGTTATTTGATTCCTCTTGTAGGATCACGGTGCTATGCATGGTAAGATTTAGGTTAATGACAAGATACTAGATGGAGCTTGATAACTTGAGAACCAATTGCTGTTCATTTATTGTTACTGTTTGCATTATCATGTAGTTCTAATCCACATTGCACGTTCATCCCGTTGGCGGTTTTATATTTATATGCTGTTCTAATCGCAGTCACTTTGAAGTTTGCTAATGTTCTTGCTCTGTGTTTTGATAGGAAGCATTTGGCCGGTACTTGGACCTACATGAGCTCTACAACGAGTTCATAAATTCCAAGTTTGGATCACTAATGGAATACTCGGCATACGTTGGCACTTTTGCTCAGACTGAAAAAATCGCACATAATCTAAAAGCTACCAGGTATGTTATCAGCATTTTCTCTAAGACCAATAACATATCTCCTGGCGCGAGCTTATCTCAAAATTCTACATCCATCTTAGATATATTTCCCTTGATTTCATCTTGTGTTGGTTAGAACTAGAATGGCCAATTCCTGACCAAATGGAACCCCAAAAGGCATACCTTCCCAGCCAATCCAGTTTTATTGGTATTCGGTATGGTAGCAACAAAATAATCACGTGATGGATGCTATAAACCAAGGAATTGGAAATCCAAAAAATCTGTTGCATGCAGTAACAACCCCATCGAATACCAGTGCCCATGATGAAAAGCTCATGACACAAAGTAACGTTAGCCCCATTCACCCAATTTCTAGGTTGTACTTGAGTTACCCACTGCCTCTTTTCATCCAAACCTCCTCCATATTAACTTGCGCCAATGATGTTCCCCACACTAGACAGGATCGCCCTTGTACCTCTAGCTCCAGCCAAGCCTACTACCTTCTTGCTGGATGCCACTCCCGATGGCATTGCCACACCACTTGTTCATCCTGATGTGCTGAATACCAGATTGATAGGTTTTTATCAGGTCAGGATTAGTCATGTTAGGACTCCCCTTCCCGTTGCATGGAGCTGGAATCTCTAATATACAAGGAGATATAGGTTGTACATGAATCTCAAGTTACTAAGTACTCCCTCCGTTCCTTTATATAAGGTGTATTTGTTTTTTCAGAAGTCAAACGAGTGCATGTTTGACCGAGTTTTTAGAAAAATATATCAATATCCACAATACGACATTTATATCATTTGATCCATCATGAAAAGTAGTTTCATATTTTATCTATTAGGTATTGCAGATGTTCTTATTTTATTCTATAATCTTGGTCAAACATTGAAATGGTTGACTTGCACGGAAATTGATACACATTATATTCTGGAACGGAGGGAGTATTAGTTTTGTACGTTGTCCCTGAATTCCCTCTTTTCCACTGCAATCTGTTTATTAAACTAAGAATACCGTGTTCATTTAGCATAACAGGTAATTACTAGAGTGGTGGGGTGGTAGTAAGATCTGTATTCAAGTATATGGGATTAACTAAAACTTACTATTAACATGTCATTTGTTTGGTCAACCATATATTTTTGAAGTCCATACATTTCTGTAAAGATGATTTATCTTCCATTTTCTTCAATTTCGCAGGCCATACAAAGAATATTTGGAGCATATTTTGGAATATCTGATGTCGTTTCTGTATCGTACAGAACCGTTGCAAGATATTGAGAAGATTTTTACAAAGGTCAATCCTCTTGTACATTCAACTATACTGTCTTTCTTCTGTGGTCTGTGCTCACACCTGCTTATGTGATGACATAGTGCATCACTTGAGACTTGTTATATACTACTTTTAAGCAGATCTCACCCATTATCTATAGCTGTTATGATTAATTGTAGCATTGCTGGTGGTGGGTTGAGAATACAAGTTTAACATAGAGCTAGAAAGAACCACTATCATCCGCACTTCCATGATAACTGATAAGTGACAACTGACAAGCAAATAGTATCTATACTTGTGCAGTTGGAAAGTGAGTTTGAAGAACAGTGGACCAATGGCGAAGTTCCTGGATGGGAGAATAAGGGCACAGAGAAAGAATCTGTGTTGCAAGAGTCTGCAGTAGACCTTGATTACTATAGTACTGTTGAAGAGCTTGTAGAGCTTGGTCCGGAAAAGTTGAAGGAGGTTTGATCTTGTAACATAGTTCAGGTTCTATTTTACTTCGTCCTTGAAATGGCCTTATGTAATAACATTTTTTTCCAGGCTTTAACTGCTCGTGGGTTGAAGGGTGGCGGCACTGTTCAACAGCGTGCTGAGCGACTTTTCTTGCTGAAGGTGACTACAAAGGCTGTTGCTAATTTTATTGTTTTATGGCTATTTATCAGTCCTAAGTTTATTATCATGGCCATACTTTTGCAGCATACACCCTTGGAAAAACTGGATCGCAAGCATTTTGCCAAAGGTGATGATCTGAAGAAGGAAATTGCTTTGATTGAAATGAAGATGAAGCGCTTATGTGAGATTCTCGATGAGGTCAGCTCTTATTCCTTTTATGTGTTGTGCAGTAACATGTGCAGTCAATTATCCATTTCAGCATGGGTAGGTTAGTAAGGTCATACTCACAGTTTGAGGAATGGCCTTGTGCTAGGATAGGCTAATATCCCTTGCAGATGCTCCCACCATGTAATGAGCCATCTTTTGGTTTATTTGTGCATAGGTTAGGAATATAGGATGGTCGTGAATAGAAGTACTTGGACCATTATATCCCAACTTACCCTAGAATCTCAACATTTATCAACCTATCTATAAAAGTGATCCTCGGCATGATGTATATAGCAATTGAACAAAATGATTGAACAACATCTATAATGAAGACAATGGCAAAAGTTGCCATCGTCGAAGTGCTGCTGTCACCAATGCCATGATGCACCTTTTCTATCATGTTCCCTACGGAAGTGATCACTGGTGAACTAGAAACTCCTAGATTTCAAACCAGTGTTTCCATGTGTATGGAATTCTAGCATGATCTACTTTTTGTGGTATAGTTTACAAAGTTCCCTTTATCTTGGTAGCACTACGGGTCATCAGCATTGTTCATGACATGTTCTTATAATTTTATGTCTTGTCTTTTTTTTGTTTGTGTGCAGGTCATTGTAAGAACAAAGGAAAACGCGGAGAAGAAGCTGACCTTGACCTATGAAGAAATGGAAGCAGAGCGGGAAGAGGTACTTAGGGCCTGTTCTGAACCTCTCTGAACTTCCCAAACTCTACAAAATCAGCTTCTGGAGCTAGCTTCAAACTCCACCTGGCGATTAGCAAATCGTTCGGCACGCTCGTAGCTTCTCCCAGAGATTTGGCCCAGTTGGGGAGGTTGTAGGCCTGTTTCGTGCTGGTATAGGCCCGCTGGAAACAGCCTAGCTCGGGAGCAGTCCACTAGAGGACCTTGTTTGACGATGGTATAGGCCCGTTGGAAAGCCCAGATCGGGAGCAGCCGCCATGGGTGGACCTTGGGAAGAAGAAAGGGAGCTCGGGGTGGTCTTCTGGATGGGAACCGGCCGGGATGGCCCTGTATATGCCAGATCCGGCGGTGGAGCGGAGCGCCGGGCGGCTGAGGGGTGGATCTGGCTGTGGCGGCGGGGGAAGGTTAGGTCGAGGGAGGGAGACAAGCGCAACGATTCGAACGCGAGTGTGGCATGTCGACTCGGGAAGCTGGCTCTCCGAAGTGTTTTCTTTAGCGGTGGCAGTCTCGTTGTAAATATGGGCAACTCCAGTTTCTCGTTTTTCTGGAGCTGGGCTTTCCGGGCTTCACGATTTTACACGTGAGCGGGACTGAGCTTCTCAAATCCAGCTTCTTCTCAAATAAACGTTCAGGACAGCTTCACACGAGAAGTTTGAGGAGTTAGAAGCTGGAGGAGATCAGAACAGGCCCTTAGTTTCTCCCTTAACTTCAACTTACTTACATTTTCTTCTGTTTAGTAAAGCACTGTTCTGTTTATCTGAACTTCTATCTTCTGTGACTTCTTATAGGAAGAAGTACAAGCTGATAGTGAAAGTGATGATGAAGACCAACAAATCTACAACCCCCTCAAGTTACCAATGGGCTGGGACGGGAAACCTATCCCTTATTGGCTCTATAAGCTTCACGGTCTTGGTCAGGTAACCGGCCTTATCTTATCGCTAACAGCTTAATTAGTCAGTATCATTTATCCATACTTTTTTTTTGCCTTCGGTCTACGTCAATAGCTCATCTTACTGTTTTGCTGAATATTTCCATGTCATTTTATTACACGTTCTTCCTACATGAATGTATAGATAGTCACCTAATGTTTGTGACCGCCAATTAATTGACTGATGGCCAGTGGCAACCGGTATAAGGCATGTACGGTTGTATACCACGACATGCTACATGTAAATTAACCTAGTTATGCTAGTATGGCTTCATTGCCAAACTCTTGTCATGCCATACTTTCTTAGTCTTGTAACCCACATTCAGTGGCACATTTCTAGCCAAACATTGCTCAAGAGATGGCCATCAATTTGTTAGCCACAATTTTTGTGGCTTGCCACAGTTTGACACTGTTAGATGTGGCAATGTGTGGTAGCCAACCAAATGTGCCTATATTATTTATATCAACTACTTGATCTTGGATCAGCTTTGCTGGGTGTCAACTAATTATATATGTTCTGTAATTTGAGGAACTGTCGACCAACAAATAAAGGCTCACATTTTTATGATTTTATCTTTCTTCAATACTACTATCAATATGATGTTTGGAGCTGCAGAATGGTATGTTCCCAAAAATGAATGCTAAATTTTAATGTTTGAGAACTTGCACATAGTTTCATCTATTTATTGTGTTTTACCTGTTGTCAAATATTAGACTCGACTTGAACATCAATAGCATAATAATTTCTATTATATGCCCAGACATCAGCATCAAATTTGGTACTAGACTTCTAATGTTTTAACTATTTCTTGTCAGGAATTCAAGTGTGAAATATGTGGTAACCACAGTTACTGGGGGCGAAGAGCTTATGAGCGCCATTTCAAGGAGTGGCGCCATCAGCATGGGATGCGATGCCTTGGCATTCCTAATACTAAGAATTTCAATGAAATTACATCCATCAAGGTACACCTGCCGTTTTTCTGTTGTCTTGTTTGTGTGATCTCTTGCTTGCAGTCCTGTCTTTAGGATAATGTTTGCAAATATTCTTCTCGGGCTCAGGGTAGTGTACATTGTGAGCAAGTGCCTGTAACTTAGTTTCTTTAAACTGATAGTCATGCCTTTTGCTTGCTTCAGACTTTTGCAAACTTCATAATGTTGGAATAAACAGTAATTTGAAGTTGAGTTTAACTTTCCTCAAGGATACATGAACACTATACCATGTTTAGGGTTTATGAAGCACCCCCCATGTTTGAATAATTTATAGGGCATACTTTGGTTAATCACATGGATAGAAGTCATGAAACCGAGATATTAATAGAGGGAGACCATGGTGTCCATTGTATTAATGTCTCGGACTAAGAGAGATAAATTATTGTTGAGTGTTAGTCATAATTGCTGAAAGAAGGGAGATAAATTAGGGAAAAAGAGAAAATGTCATTAAATTTGATCTGAATCATATTGAACATGTGCTTTGACATCTCTGATTTTGTATCGCCAGGAGGCGACGGCACTCTGGGAGAGAATACAAGCAAAGCAAGGGCAGAACAAGTGGCGGCCAGACTTGGAAGAAGAGTACGAAGATAAGGATGGAAACATCTACAACAAAAAGACCTATACTGATCTGCAGCGCCAAGGCCTGATATAGAATTCTGCATGTGATTCTCGTGCTTTGGAAGGAACGCGACGCTAAAATCGTTGGTCTACTGTTCTATTGATACCTGCTGAACTTGATGGTCGTTGTGACTTTTTATTAGCTTACATTATATGTAACCAGATGTCACCTCGGAGTTAATTTCCTTCTTTGGGTTACATTGCATATTATGCTTTATTGGTTGATCTTCCTCAGCGGTCTTTGTTTATTCGCCAAATCTCCTGTCTCATATTATGCTTACTTTGTAGTGTCAACCTGGAGAAAGCAACATTCTGGATGTAACATTGACAGTTTGATGCTTAAGAGCTCAGTGGGGTGGGCTGAAAGTTGCCTGCTGTTCGATCGAAGTATGAATCTGCAAACCGAGGCAAACGGAAGCAGAGGCGGTTTAGTGTACACATTTTCTCTCTCTAAGAGCATCTCCAGCCGTTCAGCCCCCCAGGGCGCTGGAAAAGAGTGGCTTGGGGGCGAATCGGTGCTAGATCCATCCCTGGGGGTGGCCTAGCTCCCAGCCATGCCCCAGGCGCCGCCCCCCAGCCACGGCAAATTCAAATGTAGTCATTCCTTCGCACAAAATGCTGGCAAATTCAAATGTAGTCATTCCCGCGCACAAAATAGACGCCACAATCCGGCAATCAAGCGGCTAGTAGATCGGCAAATTCAAACGTAGTCATTCCCGCGCATAAAATAAGCGTCACAATCCGACGATCAAGCGGCCAGTAGATCGGCCGATTGGATGAAAATTTGGCGTACAAAAAATAGAAAGGACGGAAGCGCGCATCAGGCGGCGAGGTCGGCCTCCGGCGTCGTCGGAGTCGGCGTGCGCGGGCTTGATGGGGTCTCTGTGCTTGGCGGCATCGGCGTGGCTTCTGTGCTGCGGGCAGTCTCGGCGGCATCATCGCTCGGGCTTGGCGGCGGCGTCGGCGTGTGCGTGGGCGTGGGCGGCGTCGTTGTGGGCGTGGGCGTCGTCGTCGAGGGAAGCTGGTTCAGGATGAGGCCACGCTTCGCCAAGTACCACGCCTTGACCGCCTTGTCGGTGCTCTGGAGCATGTTCGCCCCGCCCAGCAGGAAAGCTAGGTCGGTGTTCCTCTTCTTCGCGGCGACGTTGGTCCGGAATAGGTCGAGCTTGACGGCGCTGCTAGACATCAACGCTGACCACGGCGCCTCGGTCTTCTCTTCACGAAGGGCGGCCCGGACCTGTGCGTCGGCGAGGCAGTGCTGGATGGACTCCTGCACGCGAGCGGTGGCCGCGTCGGCATATTTCCCCTTCTTGGCACCTTTGTTGCCGTCCGGCCGCCCTTCTGACGCGCCCGGAGTTGGCGCGTCCGGCTTGTAGGTCTCCTTGGCCTTGTCGAGGGTGCGCCGGACTTCCGCCCACTTCTCGCACTTGTCAATGCGCTTGTAAATGTGGACGTACTTGAACTCGGCGTCGTTGTTGCTCTGCCGATACAGGCTGAACATGCGTGACAACTGCGCGAACGAACAAACAGTTGGCGGGCGCACACGGCGAAGAGAAGCGGGAGACTGGCGTGGCATACCTGATCCTCACCACTGGCGCCGCTCTCCGGGCGAGCGGCGACCTCCTCGACGACCCCATGCCATTTGTTGCACTCCCCTGGATACGCCCCCAATGGTTCGCCATCGCCTTGGACCCGCGCTGCATGTAGACGCCTTTGAAGTAGGGGTCGACGAGCTTGCGCTCGTCGAACTCGGCCTTGATGCGCTCCCAGTACGTCTCGATGCTCTGGTTCGTGCCGGTGGTCGGGTCGAGGCAGACGATTTTTCATGCTTCGGCGAGGCATTCCTCCTCCTTGGACGCCCACTTGATGCGCGGCTCGCCTGACCTGGCCGTCCGCTTCTTCTTCTTGCGCCTCCTTGCCAGAACAGTCGCCGGCTCCTCCTCCTCCTCCTCCTCATGCTCCTCGTCGCCGTAGACGTAGCCGAGCTCGCCGTCCATGCGGTCGCTGAGATCCACCGTCTCATCCATGGTGAACCCGGGAGACGCGGCGGCCGAACCTTCCGCGATGATGTCGTCCATGTCGGCCTCGGTCTCGTCGCGTCGCCGAGGTGCAAGAAGGGCAGTGCGCAACAGCAGAGAGGGGGCGTCGGGGAGGACGCGTACGAGGGCGGCGAATAGTTGTATGGAGGGTACTGCACGCTGGCGAAGGCGAGCGAGGGCGTGCGCTGGGCCGGGTGTCCATGGGGGAAAGTGATGTTTGGGTTGAACCCATCGTGCGCGTCCCCGTCGGCGTAGCCCGGCGAAGACGATCCCCATGGCTGTGGCGACGGAGACCCGACGCCTTGCTGGCCCCAGGGCGCGTACTGCGCGTGGTTGCCGGGTGGATTCATCATCCCCGCGCGAGTCGCCTCGGCCTCGGCCTGGTCCGCCGAAGCGGCAGCGGCAGCCGCGCGTGCAGCGTTGTCACGGGCCTTCTTGGCGAGGGCCCTGTTCCGGCGGTCGGCGGTGACGGCCTCCCGTCGCTGCACTTCCACCCTCCAATCGCCGTTTGTCATGCCCGGTGGCTTGGACGACGGCACCCTCGGCTTCCTCTGCTTCGGCTGGAAGACGGAGGCGGTCGCCGTTGCCGCGGTGCGGGGGACGACGTACTTCTTCGGTGGCATGGCGGCCTGCTGGGAGGCGAGCGGGAGGAAGATTGGCGGGAGGAAAGGAGAAAATGAGAGGGAAGTGGGAAAAAGCGGGAAGAAACGGCGGGAAGAGGCGCTCGACTCGCCGACAGGGCGGACCCATGCGCCCTTTTCGCTTGTGCCGGCGCCCC